TCTTTGGTTGCTGCTTTGACGGTGTCCTCACGGCTAAGCCGCTGTAATTCTGAAGCCTTCATATAGTAAGAGTCAAATCTGACCTACTTTCAAGTGGGTGTGGGGTTCTCTGAGTCAAGCACTGCATACGTCAGAATATCTTTGACAGAGAGCAGTGATAAAAGAACAAATGCGGAATCAGTAAAAAAATATTCCAAGACCTTGAGGCAGAAAGTGTGAGACAGAGTGCATGTGTGTGTGTGTGTGTGCGCACATACTTAAGTAAGCAGATGTGTGAATTCATGACTTTGCAGACCCGATTGTAAGTGAGAGCATAGTGAATTTAATTGGACAGGGAGGTGGTGCATGAAACCCTGGGTCAAGCTGATAGGAAATCCTGCAGTCTGATCTGCTGGCCCTTCATCACTGCCTTAATTATCCCAAACATACTGTAAGATCAGCATTCTCTCTTGTTCTCCTTCCCTTCTCTAAACCACGAGATCTCTTTTTTGCACTTGGTGTTGTGTCCTCGATGGACTCTGAATTTGGGTCCCAGTAAATCCAGTGCACTAACAAGCTAACATAGATACTGAACATCCAAGGAGACACACATCAACTCCACTCATATGAAGCCAGTAATGAGGGACAAAATAGGACTTGGGAGACAGAGAAAGAATGAAGGAGGCAAAGAAGAATGAAGACCCGATCATGAGTGAATGATTAAGAAACATCGCTAGCAGTTATCACTGGGTTATATTAGGACGAGGCAGTTTCCGGTTCCCTTTCCAGACAGATTTAGAAAAGTGCTCAGTAGTAAGTCGATGACAGGGGCTCATTGGGAGGCTTCAGGATGATCAGTGTGAAAGTGGAGCCCCTCTCTGGGTGCTGCAGCTCCCACCACTTCACACCCACAGGAGAAGTGGTTCTCAACTGGTTACTGGCGGGAGCAAGTCAAACAACAGGCAGGTTCCAGTAGTTTGTTTGTGCTTTGACACCGTGGTGTTTACCCTGCACCTCAGAGGCACGGCAGCTTGCTGTGGGCTGTGGCTCGGAGCCATGGTGGTGGACAGGGCCCGGCTGCTTACTGGCATCCACGCTGCTGCCCTCTTAACACTCTGAGGCAGGCAGGTAGTTTACTCGGCTGCAACTGTTTTGAGTCATGACGAGAGTGCTCATTTACAGAGGGCAGCAGGCATGTTTTGGCTGGCTTCTGCATCTGACATTTTCACATCATCTACTTGGGAGTATCCTTTCCTTTATTTACCTTATTGCATCGACATTTAAACACACTGTCATCATGCTGGACAGTAAGAGACAGGGTTTCTTGTATGATCACACAGGTTATAATCTTAATCTGTAAACATCCCCTTATCCATAAACTATTCTACTCTTTTTGTAAAATATTTGGGACAAAATCCAGTGTCCTTGTGTTATGCAATAAAGGATGCTATATCTCATTTTCAATTTATATACGGTTTCATCAGTCTCTATATCTGTCCTGGTAGGCACGTGAAGGTCAATTTCTAGTGTTTGGTTCCTGCAAAAACCCTGACAAAACTATGAAGTATCCTTCTTTCACAGATTAGCAGTTAATCACTTTCCTGGACAAGACAAAGAGGAATTTTTGCATGAACAACACTCACTGTATTTGTTGCTCAGACTGGAGTCTCCTTCAAGGATTCAATTGATCCAAATCATAAAAATAACATAATAGCAGTATTTTCTGATTCTTTCTTACTTGTTGTGGTATCCATTCAGTATACTGTGGTTTAATTTCCACCTTCACCCCAATACAGTGTCAGTGAAAGGAATGTTGTTTGTGTTCAACAGCAATGTGTCTTTCCAGGAACATTGACTTGGTGATTCACTTTGTGCAGGCTTCATAGGTGGAAAATAGTTTCAAAGAAATATGTGGGCAGTGAGTTCTTTGGGCTACCCACAGTAACCTGAACAAGGTTCCTGGAAAAAAAACATTGCTGTTGAAGTTCTTTAATGTTATTCTCTAGTCTTGTGGGCACCGTAATGGGGTCTAGTCATTGTTTCGCAACAAAGTTCAACTCTAGGAGGTAACACCCCAGTCGTAAATTGATTGAATACAAATATCTAAAAACAAATGGAAAGTAGAACAAATATTGATCAAGCTTCCAGTCTCTGACACTCCATGTTGTTGGAGCATGAATGCAAACTTGACTAAAATGTTTAAGTAAAAGATAAAAAACCTCAATACAGACAATGCCACAATCACTTTGTATTATAAATATATTTGTATCGGTATTCAAATGAAACTAAATTGAGAAATGTTGAATATGATATGGTACAGATAATGGTTCAAATGAGCTCAGTATGATTTTATCATCTCCAATTTATTTTATGGAAGGTTCCCTTTTACTTGGCAGCACTTTCTATTGCTGTAAGCTGAACTTCACTGTTATCATTTTTTTCCTCTTGTTTGTTTCTTTCTCAACAGTTTAAATCGGGTGGAAAGAAGTAGAGAAAATCTCCACAATGGAGCGAGAGTCCCATAAAAATGGTTGGACCTTATTGAGTGTGTCATGTTGTGTCGTGATTGAAAGACAATATCTCCTAAAGACAGTCTATCAATTACCAGCATTGCTGTAAATCATGGAAAGCCACTGCTAGACCTGAAGTATTCCTAGTTATTGGGCGTCATAATGAATCTAGCAGAGGGTGAAACAAAGGGCATAACTTCTACAAAGTTGTTATTTCTCCCAGTAGGTGCACTGGAGCTTTAGGACAAAAACAATTCCATTTGGAACCTCGTCTGTGTTTTTTTGCTTCCTGGAGGGTGTCCATGAAAACATCATTCATGTGTGGTTTTACCTCTTTAGACATAATATTGGCAGCAAACTATCATATGTTTTAAGTATAATTTCCTCTGTCTTCCTGAGGCAAAACAAGGTAATAACGTTTGAACTGAATTTATTTCCTTGCTTTGTGTCAGTGTTGTTTCTTAAAGTTTTAGCTGAACACACATTACAGTATAGTACTAGTATTTTGTATTGTTGTTGATGTGGTTGTTTGCAGTGATATATACATTGTAGGTTCATTGTCAAGTTCTGCTTGGATTATGTTGTATCTCATGATTTATATTGTTGCTTTTTGTCTTTGAAAAATAGGTGAATAAATAGTTTGTGTTACAGTAATTTCTTGTGTATTCTTACACCAGGGGTTTAAAGCCTGAAAGCCCTAACACCAAAGCTTTATTTACGAATTCTCCAGCACTTGTTAAACATTCAATACAGTGGCACCAGACTGCATCCACTGTTTGGTTTAGTAATTGAGTAGTACACCATCCACATGTATTTGTTGATCAAATGTTTTGACCGAGTCTCAAAGGAATCAAACTCCACTGTGGCCTATCAAGTCCCTCTGTGCAAGAGGCTATCTGCGACACTCAGCCTTGATTTTGTGTGGGTTTTTTGTTTTGGCACATCAAAGGGCCCATGTAGACTTCTATGTAGTCTGGTTCTGTCTCTCAGAGCTTGGAGATGAAAGGTTGGGTTGCGTAAGAACGAAAAGGCTGTTTATGTGAGTGCGCCTGGAGAGCCTCACTGATACTAGGAGCTTCTAATGGAGCAGGACTCTGCCGTGACCATGGAGGAGCTGCTGCCAGCTCGGTGCTGTAAAAGCAAAACCCAGTCGCCAGAGCAGTAAACTAGCACAACTGGCCTGTTAATACTATCATTCACAGTAATTTACATCTCATACATGATGAGCCTTTTACACAGCTGATTGCTTGTTGTCTTCCTTTTCCATCTAGTATGGTTATTTTCATGCATGAGAAGGCACATGCACGCTTGATGGAGCTTTAAAGTGACTCACAGATATTATCATGCTGACAATCTGAGAATCCAAGCTCTTGAGAGCTGCAGTCCACGTGCTGGAAAATGGAAGATAAGTGAAGGAGATGTTTGCTGAGAAAGGGCAAACCCCTCATCTATTGCATTTTCTTTATTTAAACAAATGTCAAAAATTGGAAATGAATATGTGTACATTGTGTTGTGTGTGATAGCTTTAGTGGTGTTTGTTTGCTTTTTGTAAGGAAATCACAAAAATGCAATACAAAAGGTTTACCTGCTATTTCACACAACTTGATTTACAATACTGGTATTTAAAGGCCGTGAAAAGACATTTCCTTGATTAATTGTCAACTTACATATTTAATAAACAGTACAAATATACCTGTGTTTTCAGCTGTCAAATATAGACAAACTAAACTACCTTATACTAAGGCCACAGGAGCAGTTACTACTTTGTTTTAAACAAAAACAGCCTTTGGAAAACACTCAACAAAACAACAGCTAAGTCCAGACAGGCCGTCACACTGGCGACGGAAACCCACTGTTTCCTAATGTTCTCACTCACAGCATGACACAATTCAATGACCTCCTCTGACACAATAAATTACACCTGAATTATCAATTTGGCTCTAATTCTGTGTTTGTGCAGCAGCAATTTGTCACAGCGACACGCTGGGTTTCTCAGGGCTTCTCAGTTCTGGGGCAGAAAGCCCAAACACAGGCGGGGGTGGGGGGGGGGGGGGGGGTTAATGTTGACTTGGCTCTCCTGCAACGCGAAAATCAGTGACAGAGCTGCACTGATGCCTTCGGTGACTCCCAAGAAAGTGGAAAGCGCGTTTACGAGGCCTGTGGGAGGACACTGTGGCTGGTAATTAGACAGCGTAAAAATCATCAGCCTCCACCAGGCCTCGGGCAGTGAAAAGGAGCTAAAGTAAACCAAACCTGACTGTGAAATTGCATTAGACGTCTGTGCTTAGTGGAAAGTGGAAAAAATAGACAAAACCCTTTTTTGCCTTTTATGAGCGTTTCCATTCCCCCAACACTTCCCAGACTCTGCATCACCATTCCTGCTCCTCCTCTCCTCCTCCACAGCGCAGTATATCTCCCTTACGGTGTTAAAGTTCTGTTGTAGGACGCAAACGGAAACAGGATGTTCTTGACTGTGGTTTTGAACATGTCTCTGTCTCTGCTTTCCCACAGATGCTCCCCCGCTCGGAGTGGGACCACAAGAGAGGCTCCCGAGGATCACAGGTTAGTGCTGTCCACACAAGAAGAGGCACAATAATAATCATAAACAGCTGACAGGAAAACACACACATAGGAACAAGCTCCCTGATCTCCGTCACTCGCCTACACACACCTTATAAATGACGCAAATGGCTGAAATATTAACAACTAACAGGCCCGTTCACCCACTCATTTTAGCCCTGGTTAAACAGCATGTCCTGAGGTGTCACTTCCCACCGGAGTCCTTGTTGTACTCTGTTGGACTAAAGGACACAGGCCTGTGATCTGGCTGTAAGGTGCTGCAAGAGCCATTAAAGGCAAGGGAATTGATTCTCGAGGCACTCGGACACAGAGGGCACAGATTGTAGAGGGCAGACACACACCGACACATCTTTGAGATTACATTTCCCATCTTTCGGGGGGAGAATGTGTGTGTGTTTGGGAACTGGTGTATTGAGCTGCTACAGAGCGACATGGCATGGCTCTGTAGTACAGGAAAAACAAACAATGCCCTTGGCTTTGGCATGGCCATATGCAGTATGTGTTCTGTACTTCATGTTCTACTATCTGGAGGATATCCTTTAGAAATGATGAATAGGCAACACGTCTGTGCTGACACTGTGTGCTTGGGTAGCAATAAATGCTGCAAAGTTGGGGTGAAAATCAGGGGATTTTTCTTGAATAGCGATCATAGTGCAGCACACAATTTGGCTTGAAATTAAATTACAGACTGTAATTTCCTAGAGATGCTAAGACTCATATATCTGTTCCCAAAATCAGCCTTAGAGCATTATCCCCTTTGAGGGGAGACATTCTCAAAGAGCCGGTTACACTTTTGAAACTTCGTCCAAGGCTCATATCAATTTGTTATGTGTGGTTAGTAGGCAAGCACATATCCTTTGATTGATGCATTCCCTAAGCTGCCATTAAGGTTTTTTTCATTTGCGTTCATCACTGGAATCCTGTAACAGTCCAGAGACTGAGAAGATGTGTAAGAAGTCGAGGCTTATGTTGGAATCTCTCTCCATCTCGTGGCTATTTTCCCTTGGCTCTGCTCTTTTGGACCAGGCTGTTGGTCAGAGAAGCTGGTAGCGCTGCACTGTGCCATGGCTCCTCGCAGAGTAAATCACACACTCCGCTCTTTAGTCAGTGACCAGAATGTTTGCTTGGTCTTCAGTGTGTCATAGTAATGCACACATTAGCTCATATTCCAAACTACGTATCTTTATTATTTTTCTTCGCGAGCACCCTTGTCCAAAGCATGCGTGGATGTTTTAGCTCAGGAATTGACACTGAAGTTATGTATGGAAAGAGCTATTTAAATATTTGTTTTTCGACTTGGAAACATATTGGTTTTGGAACATTACCCTGGGAGATTATCGCAGAAAAGAGTGTTTGTAGGCCTGGATCTTGTGGCTGTTATTCCAGTGGCGTTTTCTCCCGGAGGCCAAGGGAAGCCAGGCTTCCCCTGTTTTTTCGGATTGTAGTTATTATTTAAATAAATAAATAAAAACACTTTGTTTTGTTTCGATCATTCTCCTTTGCTGTGTGTTGCTGCCGGCCCGTCTCTCCCACATTCTCATTGAGTATTTTACAAAGAGTGAAACAAACAGCGCCCCTCTAGATGTTATGGTGAAACGGTAGATTGCACTCTCTGTTTCGAGAGGAGGCCAGCCGAATCTGGCTTCCCTTGGTGAAAAAAAATGAGGGATTGACCAATCAGATGAGGCTCACGTGATGCCCCTGCCAACCCGTGATTGGTCAGGGCCATGCCAAGGGAAGCCAGAGGCGGCTGGCTTCCCTTGCCTCACAATCCAATCAAATCGCATCAATTTAGTGGTGCAGTGACGCGTCCTAAAATCCAAAAGTAAGCTGCGCTCGGTTTCCCTCGACAAAAAAGCAACGGGATTTCTCCATAGGATTTAGGAAAATAGCTCGAAATAAGGTCAGTGGAAAACAAACCTGTTAGATAAATGCAAGTTTTGTTCAGTCGGATAATCTCCACATGTCTACCCTACTTTTATCATTTTCGAATCATAAATCTAATCGATAAAAGATAGATAGCGTCACTGCATCACTCTCACCGCCGTTAGAAAGTAGCAAGCAACTGAAGCAAGTGCAATTATGGAGGGTGGAGATTTGGAGTATTTAATCAAAAAATAATTGTACTAAACTTCCGCTACAGCAGCAACAACAAATACAATCTGATGACAGGCCGATGCCCAAACTGGAGCTGTGTACAGCGAGGAACAAAGGAGCGAATCGGACGTAAAACGTTAAAGGTCTCCTGATTTAGTTTGTGAATGAATGCTTATTAGAGTTTCGGCTGGAGAGTGCGTGCGGACATGTCGGTTCGATAACAGGCGTGTGTAAGTCCTGCATCTGTATGATACAAATGTGTGTAAAATGATACCGGGTGCTGTAATCACTCATCTGGCTACGTTATTACATTGACCACCACACCCCCGACCCAAAAGAAAGGACGTATTATTGGCTTCCCCTAATTTTTTCCCCACGCCACGCTACTGTGTTATTCTAAGTTACAAAAGGCTGGAAGAGTGGTCTGTGAGGCAGACAAGCCATGATATTGCAGTCATGTTGAAGATTTCTTAAAATCACTGTAAGCACTTCACAAACTGAGGGTTAGGAGGTTAAAATAGGTCACTGACCTTTTTCTTGTTGGATCTATCATGATGGGCTAGAGTATTTTCTAATTAAATTGGGTCCTCTGGCAATACTGAAAAACTACCTACAGGTTTGACTTGCATATTCTGCCTGGGAGATAATTGGATCTGCCACAAATGATACGGACACATTAACAGTTTTCAGCCTCTTACTTTTGATAAAGTGCAGAAAGTATAACATCTCTAAGCTGGTGCCATTTCTCAGATGAATAGATTGACATTTAACTTGGTTTAATTAATAGCATGCATATTCAGTTTGCAAGATGTTTAAAAAAACGTGTGACTATGCCTGCTGCTGCTGATGGATAATATGTGTAACCACTAGTATCATGCGGTTAACCCTCGCTCATTCATCGTCTAGCAAAAGCTATCTGTTTTACCTTATGCATCTCTTTTGTTTGCCCTGTCCTTTATGCTGGCGTTTCTCCTGCCTGTGTCTGTTTCTGTAACTCAGTATTTTTTTGTAATCTTATTTGGCTTCTCTTCTGGAATCAAACACCCTGAAATATGCTCAGGGAAAAACAAGCCTGTCTTTGGAGATGAGATGGCTGCATGTTAGGGGTCAATTGGCTTGACCTTTCCCAGTAAATCTTTAATGAGGCAGTTATTCTTTTTTGTTTTGTTTTGATCCCCCTCACACCCCCTTTTAATAAAATATGTAATAGCGTGTAATTGGATCCTGGCTGCAGCCGAGGACCTGGCTGCAGCCGAGGACCTGGCTCAGCGTAGCTTCGGTCTGAGCTGACGGAGGGGTTGTGAGGGTAGTCGGGTCGCGGTGGGGGTGACTGTTTTGTTGGGAAGTGGGAAGCTGGTGGGCGTAGTTTTGGCTGTTGGAGCTGAGGCAGGGAGCGAGGAGTGTCTCGGCGGAGTTTAGTGTTACCGTTGTGCTGTGATATCATTGCTCTGTTGTTTTAAGTAGAGAACATCTCCCAGGCTCCTCTTCAACTAATCCATCTCGACAGATGTAATCAGGGCCATTACACTAACTGCACTGCCACTGAAACAGAAAACTGCATAGTAATGATTTTTGAAACATGCAGAGGGCTCTGTATAAATTAAATCAACCGAAGAAAAAATAACAATTATTTTAATAATAATAAATTCCCCAGCTTCTTGCTCAGCACATTCCCATATTTCTTGAAGTGTGCGAGGATGTGTTTAGGAGGTTGATTGTAAAATACGTGTATGTATCTGTGTGCTGTCCTTTAGAAAGAGCCAGAGTTGCTCACATTATTGAAATGTGTTTACTAAGAGAATGAAATGCCTTTCATTCTGGAGTAGGCCCCTGAGGCATTTGTCCAGTCTTTAGGGTGGGATACATTATATTCTCACCATTGCACAATTTTAAAAGTCCTCATATCAATGGTATTTTACTAGAGGCTAAAAGGGCTGTATGTTTAGATGAGGGAGCCAAGGGGTTAAAAGTGCATAAAGTGGACCATCTCAGAAATTACAAAAATGTGATCTCTGTTGTGTTTACCATTAATAACCATCATTAGACAGGAGGATCAGAGTTTGTTTGTTGCATCAAATGCATTTAATCTTTCTTCTGCATAGCTATTTGCCAAAAACATGTGGAAACATCAGGAATACCAATAATCATATTTGAATGACTCAGTGTTGTTGCAACAGATGAATTTGATGTTGTTGTTTGCATCAAGTAAATGGGTACAAGAGGACATATTGTAGATGTATGCACTCCAGAATTTAATAATGTATTTTTACGACTGCATTGTACACCGTGTACACAGTGTGGTTTGAGTATAGTTATCATAAACCTTTTGTTAATAAGGTTTTAAAGGTCCCATGTCATGCTTTTCTGGTTATTACCCGTCCCCTTGTGTGTTATGAAGGTTTTTCTGTATGTAAACGGTCTGCAGAGTCAAAACCCCTCAAAGTACACCCTGTAGCGAGTAAAACTCTAACACAGAAAATACCTATCTATGCTGCCCCAGAACGCCTCGTTGGAGATTTCTCTTTTTCAATTTGTTTCTTCCGGGAACCGCATGACGTCATGCGGTTCCCGGAACCAAAATGGACCAATCCGCGGAGCTCCTCACACACCAGGACCTTTAGCGTACATTTTTAACTAACAGGGAGTCCCATTGACTTGCATAGAGCTCCCTGGTTGGTAATAGACGAGTTGGGATCGATACGATACGATATTACTTTATTTGTCAGATCAAGTCTGAAATGTAACTTGCGTCACAGCAGCTCCATGTCCAACATCAACAGACAAATATCCAGACACAAATTCATGAAACACAAACAACAAACATTTAACATAACAGCACAATCAGTGAGAGAAAAGCTGCTCAAAGAGCCTTCAGCGTGCATTTG